ACTGGTCACTTCTTGGATAGCACAAATCCAGTTGATTTTATCACAACAAGCAAATCTAAACTTTTTGGGAAAGATTCAGAACTGTACATGAATGCACGCCTTTCAGCCATCTCTTTAACTTATTATGGATTTTGTATGCGGGATGCAAACTACACAGTAAATCTCCATTTTGCGGAGATAATGTTCACTGATGATAAGACATACAACAGCTTGGGGAGGCGCATATTTGATATTTATATTCAGGTAGCTAAGATTGATCTTAATTTCAAAAGCATTACATTTTTAGAGTTTGATTGAAATGAGTAAAAGGTAAAGATTGACATAAACCTGCATGGAATATTCAATAACTAGAATACATGATTATAGGGAAAGCTGGTCCAAGAGGATTTCAATATTGCGGCTGAAGCTGGTGGGGTTGGCAAAGCTATCATAAAACCATTTCCTGCAGTTGTGATCAATGGTACCTTGGAGATTCGTTTATATTGGGCTGGAAAAGGAACAACAGCCATTCCTAATAAAGGAGTTTATGGTCCTCTTATATCAGCTATATCTGTGAATCCTAGTACGTTTTATATGTAGTCTACACATTTCTTTTTGTATCTGATTTTTTCTTATTGACATTTAACTTGTTCAAGAACTATGCCTGTGTTATTGATGCTTACATCATGCATTCAGTATACCTCGCAGTCATATTACATTGCATGTTTTTACTCAAGATTTGGTGTGACTAAGCAATATTATGATCTTCTTGTTATATTCATGATTTTCTTTGAGCAGATTTTAGTTTAGAGGACGATACTAGTCTATCTGTAGGAATGGTGGTTGGAATTGTGATTGGAGTAGCATTTGCTATCTTCTTGATTATGGGTATTATTTGGTGGAGATGCTGTAGAAGACAGAAAAGCATATTAGAACAAGGTATCTAGAGAAGAGAAATCAGCATTTAATTACATTCTTGGCCTTTGGTGAACTTTTGGGATTGAAGATAGTCTAGTACTCATCTTATAAATAATTCTCTCATCTTTCTCCTCTTCTGTAGATCTAAAAGGTATGGACTTGCAGACTGGTTCTTTTACTCTAAGGCAGCTAAAAGATGCCACCAACAACTTTGATCCTACTAATAAGATTGGAGAAGGTGGTTTTGGTCCTGTCTACAAGGTAACATATACTAAAATGTTTTCTTTAATCTTACAGAAAATTTGTTTAAATTAATCTCATAGTATTTCTTAAATGCAGGGTCATTTGATGGATGGTAAAGTTATTGCTGTCAAGCAGCTATCTGCTAAATCAAAACAAGGAAATCGTGAGTTTGTGAATGAAATTGGCATGATCTCTGCTCTGCAACATCCTCATCTGGTAAAGCTATATGGATGTTGTATTGAAGGAAATCAACTCTTGCTAATATACGAGTACATGGAGAACAACAGCCTCGCTCGTGCATTGTTTGGTGTGTTTCATTCATATTGTTTTCTTAATGCGCTTGTAGTATAAAATATTTCCAAGAATGAACATATAGCAAAGACATATATACGCTTTTCTTAATTTTGGTATTTCTTAGGCCCAGAAGAATGCCAGATGAAATTAGATTGGCCAACAAGACAGAAGATTTGCATTGGTATAGCAAGAGGTTTGACTTATCTCCATGAAGAATCAAGGTTGAAGATTGTGCATCGAGATATCAAAGCTACCAATGTATTGCTTGATAAGGATCTAAATCCTAAAATTTCTGACTTTGGTCTGGCCAAGCTTGATGAAGAGGATAATACCCATATCAGTACCCGAGTTGCTGGTACTTTGTAAGTATTACTGCTTCCATTGCCCCAAATATTACTGGTGATATATAACTATTTCACATGTTAAGTGTTAAGGTGTTTGAATGTCACTGACATAGAATATATACTATATCATGTTTCCTACGTTTACAGTGGCTATATGGCTCCTGAATATGCAATGCGGGGATACTTAACTGACAAAGCAGATGTTTATAGTTTTGGAATTGTGGCCTTGGAAATTGTCAGTGGAAGGAGCAACACATGTTCTCGGACAAAGGAAGATAGTTTTTATCTTCTTGATTGGGTACAAACAACCTCACTCTTTAATTCTTTCTTCAATTTCAATATTCAATTTGTTGAAAATTGAATCGCAAGAAAGCGATAAACTTTCCTGTTTCCTTTTAGGCTCTTCTTCTGAAAGAGAAAGGAAGCTTGTTAGAGTTAGTTGACCCGAGACTGGGATCTGACTATAACAACATGGAGGTAATGAATATGATAAATGTGGCACTGCTATGCACTAACCCTGCTCCAGCCGCTAGGCCAGCCATGTCTTCCGTGGTGAGCATGCTTGAAGGCAGGGTCACTGTTGTGGATTCTAGCATGTCTATTGAATCAATAAGGAAGTTCTATCAGAATCTTGAAGAAAGAAATATTCATGAGAACAAGTCACAGAGTATGTCAGTAGAATCTTTGCCATTTACCTCCCCTTCCTCATCTGCAGCTGACCTTTATCCACCCAGCTTGAGCTCATCTTATTGGCAAAAGAGAGAGTAGAAAAGAAAAACTCTGGAAATCATCTTGATTTTGGCCATGAGAACATTTCTTAATTGGAAATTTTATAGTTCTTATTATAATTTTTCTTTTTGCAATTAGACTGTAAGAGCCTCTAGAACAAATATTTGTTAAAGCAAGGTTGTGTTTTAAATTCTACTATTGTAATAGTTTTTACGTGGTTAAAGAAATATGTATTTTTAATCTTGGATTTACTTATGAGTGTAGTGTTGTAGGGTAAATATAGGGTTAAGTCTTGGGGTGACGATTAATTTCACCATGGATCAGTGTTAATATATACAAAAGCTAATTCAAGATACTCTGATAGTAAATAAAAAAATATTTTATTTGAACTTTTAATCTAATGTGATTGTATTTTTTTAATATATTACACGAGTTATGTAATAAAGAATATAACACTTCTTCTTTCTTAATTCTTCCCACCTTATCTCAAAGTTCAAATTCAAATTTTCACAATTTTAACCTTAAAGAATTTCTCCCCACTTAAGACACCTTCTTTAAGTAGTACATGACTCTATACTAATACATTGGTTGGAAAGGAAAATGTTTATCATGGTATAATGGTTTTGTAGTAAATAATAGCTTCTTCTTTCTTTTTCTTTTCCTTTTCCTTTTTTTAATTTCCCCTATGAGCTACAATAAGCAGTGTTTTACGCACAACTTATATGAGTTCTTTTTTTCCTTATTTATGCAAGTTACAAAACTAGTGTTAGAGAAACGTCCTTTCTTTTGCTTTCATTTCTCTTAAAACAAATATATTTTTTTATTTTTTAAAAATTAAATATATTTTAAGTTTAAACTTTAAGTTTAGTAAGTTTAGCACCTAAATCTCTTACTTTGTTTTTATTAACAATTGCAATTTCTAAGCATGTAAAGATTTTTCTCCACCTATTTTGAAAGAAAAAAGTTTTCATATTACTTACTTTATATTCGGCCCATTTAATAACTTTTTTTACTAATATTTTTTATATCAATTTTTTATGAAATATAATAAAATTAATAATTCAACAAAATTCTAAAAAAATTTCATTATAAAATTTAACAACTTTCTCTATAATATTTTCTAACTTTTAACACAGTATTTTCTTAAATACTCTCCGAGCATAAATTTATCTAATAAAATGACTCTCGAACTAAACCAAACAAGACCTTAAAGGTAGGGAGAACAGGCATTTTAGTGTTTCATCGTTGTAGTCAGAACCTTGGTCAGTGTCAAGGCATTAGGTGCACCAGCCATTTAACCTCTAAGCCCTGGTGCTCCTCAATTTAATAAAGAGTGCAAGGAGCAATCTCTCTAATACTTTATTTTGATTACTCTATATGTGATTAGCTTATGTAAAATATAAATTTAATATAATTATTAATTAATGATTGAGATTAAATTTAATACTTTTAAAATTTAAGATTACAATCAATCATATTAAATTTATCTCTTACATATCTCATACACATGAAGAGTATTAAAAAAAACAATAGAGAGTTTTTTTAGGATAATGTTATTACCACACTTTTAATTACTCATGTCACACTTTTTATTTTAATTGATTATAATACTATTTAATTTATTAAGAAACAAAAAAATATAATTTTTTGAGAAAAATATAATGTAAATGTATAATAGACAATTATATTACAAAAGTGTAGTATATTAATTATTTAAAATGTGACAATAACCCCACCCATTTCCTTAGCATTCCTCAAATCTAATACATGCCATTTGTACTTGATTTTCTCCCTAAATCCAACTATTATGCCCTAATTCGAGTTATAAACAGGTAGGTAAATGGGGAAAGGATGGCATGCCCTACGGTATGGGGTACCCCCTGTGCAATTTATAATAGCAAAACACCCTATCACAATCGTCCACATAACGCTACATTTTTTTTTTTTTTTTGCTCTCATTGATGTTGGACTCCAGCCGGGCCAGCCCTCAGTCCCTACAAGATGGCCTCCAAAAGACACAATTGATTCGATTGTTCGCATCTGATTTTTGCCCGGACAACATCACCGCATACCATACACCACCAAATCGTTCCCCGTGACATACAAGACAAACAAATCCCTACATTAACATCTCACACCGAACCCAAATACAATATCATCCAAAGGTCAGATTCACTCGCGAGTTATTTTAGAGTCATAAATTTTCTTGACTACATAACGGGATCAATGCAAAGAAAAAAGAAAAAAAAGGCTACTTTCTTCCAATAAGGTTGAAGGATATGGACATGCAAATAGAGTTGAAAGATACCTAAAAATCTTACATCTATAAAAAATGAGGTTACATATTAAAATACAATATATTTATAATACTTATAAACTTAATAGACATATCATTTGAAACTCGGCTAAAGGAAGGCTATACAATTAAAATTGTCCAAAGAAAGGGTAACTCAAGTCACCCTCACAGTTAAAAAAGGAAGGCGTATCAACTATCAAACTCCTCTCTGTGGACCCATAAAAACTCACCCCATAAATCATGTAAGAAAGCCATTAAAACCTCTGCCATTTATACAAGGAGCCAGAAACAGAGCATTCACCCCACATCATTTCTCTCTGGATATCCGTCTCTTTCTTCTGAAAGAGATAATGGATTCCGGCGACTTTCGATGCAGTTACTCTGTTGCATCTTCAGCTCTGCTGCTCTTCGGTGTTGCTCTTCTTCCGCAAGCAAATGCAGGGGACTGCGACCTGTTCAGTGGAAGGTGGGTTTTCGATTCCTCCTATCCTCTGTATTCTTCCTCGAAATTGTCCCTTCATCGAGAGAGAGTTCAGTTGCGAGAAGAATGGCCGGCCTGATTTGGTTTACACCAAATACAGATGGCAGCCTCTTGGCTGTGATTTAGCAAGGTACTGCCAATTTTCTCCCCTGTTTTTTCATTGAATATTT